CTTAACAATGCAAATTAATGCAATGTAACCTAAAATGACTTGTTTACTTGTTAATATGCTAACATGTCGGTCACCGAATTTAAAAATAATTTTTAAAATTTTATTTTAATAACTTTTTAATAAAATAATTATTTTCAAATTATATATATATATATATATATATATATATATATATATATATATATATATATATAATATATATATATATATATAAACCCAGTTCATCTCTGGCCATCTAGGAGATGAAAGGGACCCCTCTGTCTCCGGCTGGTAGTTTTTTTTTTTCTTTTTTTAAATAAATTTTTTTTTTTAAATTATTAAAATAGAGGTTAAAAATTATTTTTAAATTCGATAATGACACATCATCATATCAACAGGTAAACAAGTTATTTTTGGTGAAATTGCTAGAATTTACGTTGTTCAGGTACTTAATTATAATTTTTTTGAGTTCGATGGACTAATTGCATTTTGGTGTGTAGTTTAATGACTTATTTAACTTTATTTCAATTAAATATTCTTAATATAAACATGAGAACTAATTTACTATTAATCATTTTAATTAATATAATATAGATTACAGGTGTTGTTTTATTTATTTATTATTTTAAAATAATCATAATTTTATGTTAGAAACTTACTGTTTTGTTTTGTTTTTTTTTTTTTTTTTTTTTTGAATGCTATTGACTCTATTACAATGTAGTTTATGTTCATAAATTGAACTACTTTCTCAACCTAATGAAGCACAAAAAAAGTCAAAGCCGCCTCCACTAAGGCTCAAACCCACAACTTCCCATATGAGAGTCTAACCTTAGTGTCATTAAACCACAAAGTCTTGGCAGAAACTTATTGTTATGCATCACATATATAAATATTAGTATTAAAATAAGCTAGAATGAAGTTAAAAAGTATTGTAACAAAGTCCTAATAATTGTTTAATTAAAGGCCCTATTACATTGTAGTATCTATTCATATACTTTCTCAACCTACTGAAACACAAAGAACCAATAACGCCTCCACTGAGGCTCGAACTCATAACCTTCCAAATGAAAGTCCAATCCGGATACCATTAGACCACATAGTCATTGTAAATCAGAACTATTTTAGTTAGGGAGATAATGATGAATTTAAAGAAGTTTCTTAATCAAGTCCCAATCGTTACATTAATATAACCACATGACATAGATTAGAAACGTAACATAGCAAATCTCCTTTAAAAAAAAAAAAAAAAAAAAAAAAGAACAACAAAAAAAAAAAAAAACAAACATATATCTAACCCTAGCAAAAGTCACCATCGGCCCGATTGTTATATCGTAAACCAAGACTCACATTGAAAAGTTCATTTTAGTATTGATGGTTTTATCAGGATCGGATCCACCATAAACCGGGTATAGAGAACATAGAGCAAAATAAGGAACTATAATAACGAACCCACACGCGTACACACAAGCCCAAGGCACAAAGTAGGGATGCTACACAGTAAACGAGAAATCAACAAGAAAGATAAAGGCCCCAGCTACGTTGGCAACATGGGAATCGGACCCTAGACCTTTTAGGAGAGAGAGAATACTTAATCCACCAGACTACTATGCCTCGTGTGTTTCTGTCCCCCTAAGCAGTTCGCTTACCGCCCCACCCCCTTTTATACTACCTTGAGCCTCATGTACGTCGTCCACGTGTACGGTGTTTGCGCGTTATCTTTCCTCGACATACATGTGCCCCTCCTTTTCTACGCACGTAACCCTTCCACGATCCCCATTCTTACGTGCGCACGCCGCCTCCTCCATCAAGCATGTGGTCGCCACCTTGCATGCAAGCAAGCCTACATATGCAACCGCCCCATGCATGCAACCATGCATACACGCACAGCCGCCATCTCGCATGCAAATGTACGTGCATGCAGCCGCCCTCTTGCATGCAAGCATGCACACACGCAACCGCCGAATCATACTCACATGCATCTGTCACCCCCCGCATACATGCCCGGGAGCAGCCGCCGCCTTTCGTGCGTAAGCCCTCGCAAGCAGCCGCCATTCCCTCATGCACGCATGCGGCCCATGTACATGCTTCCCTCTATGAACGTAGGCCCAATCCCCTCATGTGGGCCGAGCCCAATCCTTTATACACCATCAAGTATAATGTACACGGTTAGTTGTATTAAACCCGTTGTACTTTAAGAAAATCTTAACCAAATTAGTTAGACTATTGGGTGGAGCAATATTATTCATGCTAGTATATCTAAAAATCACGAGTTTGATTCTCGAAGCTGGTACACAGACACACACACACAAAAATCTAGACTACTAAATTTATTAGATTGATGCACAAGATTTGATCTCACAATGTTACCTAGATCAATCGCATTTGCACACACTTAATTGCGTTCGCGTTCGCACACAATTAATCTAGACCACTAAAATTAATTAGATTGATGTACAAGATTTAATCTCACAATCTCACCTAAACGTATGATCATATATATATATATATATATATATATATATATATATATATATATATATATATATATATATTCATTTGTTAGTTGGTCAAATCAATTATGAGTATGTATATTATTAAGTTTACTTTATTAATTTCGCTGGAGAATATTTTAATCAATGGGAGTGATCATTTAGAAAAAGATCATTAAGATACTCCACTAAAGTTTATGGATTTAATTGGCTTTATACATTTCAAATTGGATTATATGTCAAACAATAAGTCCATAAGATTCCACAAGTATTCATTTTGTATTTGTTCATATAAATTCATAAGTTCAACTTATTGAACATTTGGTTGTCCAACATATTTATGAAAATATTGTAACAATATTAAGGAATTTATTAGAACAAAAGCATTTAACTTGTGCTGAACTGTCATTTAATAAATTCTTCAGTGATTAATAGAGTCTTTAGTTTCTTCAAAATTCATCCTGGGCCTTTTTGGTTTGTAAGGCTCAAGACGATTTTGTGAGACGTATAAGTAAGACTCATTATGTTTAGTTCATTTAAAGTGAACATTGAAGTTATTTGGAAAGTTATGGTGTATGTTTAAGATTTCAAATTTATGGACTTAGACCTTTGGTTTATTGTCTAAGTTATTGGAATGTTTTTGTAACTTGACTATCTTTGGCTATTTTTTATGAGTGGGAGTGACAGACGTGTCAACTCCAAACTCTTAGCTGTTAGAGGTAGTGCTTAAAGTTAACTTATAAAGAAGTCATAGAATATAGTTAGCATTATGCTAACATTAAGATATATCTACTTAAGGCATGCTTATAAAGTTTTACAGATCATAACGTGTACTCTTTTGTACAATTTGGATAGTTTTTTCTTTCAGTTGTGCACATAATGTATTTTGAGAAACATCCCTTAAGGTACCAAGAATAAACATAGGGTTTGTTCATAAAGGACTTGAGTTGGAGAATTAAAATGCATGTGACCATAATGGATATTACTCTAATTAAATAGAGGACATGTCACTATGATTCGTGTGTTTTGTTCTTTGATGAAGGTTGTGCTAGTACTTACACCAAGTGGGAGAATGTAAGATTTTCCCTAATAATATATATTCTATATTATATATTAGGGCCTTAATTAAGTGGTGCAAGTTGACTAGGCTTATTAAGTGGTCTGGTTGGACTGAATAACTAGAAGTTGTTAGTCAACCAGACTCTGTGTCTAATATAGACCTGGATTGATGGGATACAGGTTTATGGATTAGATAGCACATTCAGTTACGGTACTCATACTGCTCAGTAGACACCAATAAACCATCTAGGGTTCTGAGTCAGGTGTAAGGCAAATAATGGCTAATGGTCTACCGTTAAGAGGTAACACAACATGAGCATCAACTGTGGCTGGAGATCAACATGGCTACGCTTCCGCTCTTATACGAGGTCAGATCTCTCGTATACTAATATTCTGCATAGTTAGATTATTTGTATCTAACAGTAATGACTATTCAAAGTGTATTATGGGTAAGCTTCGTTTCTGTATAATAGTTTGTAAATCATACGAGAGATAAATAACATTAAGAAAAACATGTAATAAATTTGGCCAAGAGAGAGAGGTATATTATGGACAACTATCAAGCTTCTAACCTTCCATATCCTTCCGGTAATATCTATCAACGGCGGACCTACATGGGGCAGTGGGGGCAGCTGCCCCCACTAACCCCTCCCTAATTAAACCATTTTATATAATATAGATATACAAATTACTAAAGGTTTTAGTAGCCTAGTTGGTTGAAACCTTAGGTTTGTTGTGGGTAGGTCATGGGATCAATTCCCACTAGTACTAATTTTTAGTTTCTTTTTAAGAAAAAAAAATTATTTTAGCCATTCTAATCTTATAGTATTTTTAGTTTCTTTTCTTTATTTTAACCCTTTCAATCATTCAATGAATTAAATATTTTTTAATCTACTTTCTTTGTAAATCATATAGTTAATGTAGTCCACAAGTTTATATTACACTTCATTGTATTCGAATTAATTTCGAAAAATTTAAAGTTAAACAAAAATTATTTTAGTCATTCTAATCTTATAGTATTTTTAGTTTCTTTTCTTTATTTTAACCCTTTCAATCATCTACAATGAATTAAATATTTTTTAATCTACTTTCTTTGTAAATCATATAGTTAATGTAGTCCACAAGTTTATATTACACTTCATTGTATTCGAATTAATTTAGAAAAATTTAAAGTTAATCTGATTAGAGAGATTAGATATTCAGTTACGACATAATAGAGTTACAGGAGAGTATCAAACTATACCACTAATATCTCCTGACTAATAGACTAGTCACCTAAGACTTATTCTATTACAATATAACTCTAAACTGAGATAATAATAATAATAATAATAATAATAATAATAATAATAATAATAATAATAATAATAATAATAATAATAATAATAATAATAATAATAATAATAATAATAATAATAATAATAATAATAATAATAATAAATGTAACAATAATAGTAACACTAACACACCCCCTCAAGTACAAGGTAGGTGAGCCACCATATTGAGCTTGGCTCGAAGAGTAGAGAAACGCGGTCCCGACAAAGGTTTGGTGAAGAAATCGGCGAGTTGATCTTTGGTTGAAACAAAATTAACCACAAAGTCCCCAAACGGAACCTTGTCACAGACGAAATGATAGTCGATCTCTACATGCTTCGTTCGAGCATGAAAAACCGGGTTGGCACAGAGGTACGTGGCACCCAAGTTATCACACCAAATACTGGATGGTTTCACATCATGCAATCCTAACTCGCGCAGCAAAGAGACAACCCAGGTAACTTCAGCAGCGACATCAGCCAAAGCTTTGTATTCTGCTTCAGTGGAGGAGCGAGCCACGGTGCGCTGCTTCCGGGATTGCCAGGAGATGAGATTGCCCCCCAGGAACACAGCATAGCCACTGGTGTTTTTCCTGTCTATAGGACAACTGGCCCAGTCAGAGTCCGAATATGCATGTATGGTAGTAGTCGGTGAAGGCGTGATCCGCAACCCATAAGCAAGAGTACCCTTGACATAGCGCAACACACGCTTAATCAAGGCCTAGTGGTCAACAGTCGGAGAATGCATAAATTGGCATAGACGATTGATTGCAAATGAGAGGTCCAGCCGAGTGATTGTGAGATACTGCAGCGCGGCAGCGCCCCTACTATGCGGCGATACTGTGTCGGGTTATCAAACAGTTCATCAGACGGAGTGACTGCCTTAGTGACAGAAGTCCGTGTAGCAAGGGGTTTGCAATCAACCATCCCAGCTCGCCCAAGTAAGTCAGTCATGTAACGCTGCTGCGAAAGAATCATACCATCCCCTGCCTCAACTGTCTCAATGCCCAAAAAGAAGCCCGGTTTGCCTAGGTCCCGAATTTTGAAGGCAGTTGCAAGGCGATTAAGGAGAGAGCTGACCAAGCCGGCGTCGCTTCCCATCATGATGATGTCATCTACATAGACAAGTAAAAACACCTTGGATCCTCCGGTGGTGTGGAAAACAGAGAAACATCCGTCTTGGACGAAGAAAAACCTGCAGATAATAAGAAGTCGTGAAGTCGCTTGAACCACGCCCTAGGTGCCTGCTTGAGGCCATAGAGCGAGCGTTGCAAGAGGCAGGCGTGGTCAGGGTGAGCCGGGTCTTCATATCCTGGTGCCTGTTTCATGTACATCGTCTCAGCCAAGTGGCCGTTCAGGAAGGCATTGTGAACATCCAACTGCCGGAGGGTCCAGTTGTGTGAGACGGCCAACAAGAATAGGATGTGGACCGTAGTGGGTTTTACCACCGGACTAAAAGTGTCGAAGAAGTCCTCTCCGGCCACTTGGTTAAATCCTTTGGCGACTAGACGCGCCTTGTAACGCTCGACAGACCCGTTTGCAATGCATTTGGTACGGAATACCCATTTACACCCAATGATGTTCATGGTAGGATCAGGTGGGACAAGGCTCCAGGTGTCGTTGTGGAGTAGGGCATTGAATTCCTGGTCCATAGCATCTCGCCATTGTGGATGCCCTACAGCTTGGGAATAACACGTGGGATCAGTCGTTGCAGTTAGGGCATGAAACTCTTCATTAGTGCCCCGAGTCATGTGCCGAAGTCGCATGACGTGCCCCCTGTCCCGGGGGTTGCACCTGAGCGGTGCGCTTCCAAGCCCGAGGTGGGGCGGTGTGTGCGATGGCTAAGCAAGGTGGCTCCTGAGCAAGTGGGAAAGCCTCAGTGACCGGTGTGGGATCCAGGTCACGCACAGGAGCTTGTTGTATCAAAGGAATTACGGGCCCCGAAGCCCAAGGCAGTGGGACGGGCGGCGGGGCCTACTGCAATAGACCTGTATTAAAAGGAAACACAGACTCGTCAAATCGCACATGGCAAAAGATATAGGTTTTCCCACTAAATAGATCCATACATCTGTACCCCCTAAAGGACGGTGGGTAACCTAGAAAGACGCACGGGGTGGAGCGATACTCTATCTTATGCCGATTGTAAGGCCGAAGATAGGGATAACACTGACACCCGAAGACACGAAAAAATTGATATGTTGGCGGCTTTTTGTATAGAAGAGAGCATGGGCTTTCAAAATTAAGGACTGAAGTCGGGAGATAGTTTATTAGACACGTGGCAGTCTCAAAGGCGAAGTCCCAATATTGTTGTGGGACATTGCTGTGCGCGAGAAGAGCTAAGCCCGTTTCCACAATATGTCGATTATGGCGCTCAACTCTCCCATTTTGCTCGTGTGTGTAGGCACACGACTGCCGGTGATTGATACCCAATGACTGAAACGTAACATGTATTTTGCGGTATTCACCCCCTAAATCTGACTGGATAGATATGATAGAGCGCAAAAACTGTCACTCTACCAACACACGAAAAACGTCAAAAAATTTATAAATGTTTGATTTTACCCGTAATGGATCAAACCAGCAAAACCGAGTGAAATCGTCAACGAACAATACAAAGTACCGAAAAACACTTGAGGAAACTACAGGAGCAGGTCCCCAGATATATGTATATAGTAGATCCAGTACATTGTAGCTAGAATTTTTAATATTGTCTAACTTAAAACGAGAGGACTTGCCGAGATGGCAAGTTTTGCATGAACCCAAAACTTTGAAATTATTCGGTTGAACCAGGCAATTTTGGAGGATTTTATTTTGAACCAAACTGTGAGGGTGACCGAGCCTGCGATGCCATACCACCGGTGTTGCACGGGAAGTGACAAATGCAAACTGACTTCGTGACACAGGAAACTTGTATAGACCGCCAGTGGTAGGATCCCAAAGAAGTGTGGCCTTGGTTTTGGAATCCTTCACATAAAAACAACTATTATGAAACTCAAAGAAAACCCCATTATCACTAGCTAATTTTTGTACAGATAATAATGGGACGGTTAATGTAGGAACATGCAACACATTAGACAGGAGTAATTGTTTGGACACAGATGGGATAGATGTATAGCCAATTCGTGAGATAGCCAAACCTGCACCGTTTCCAACCCGCAGTGTGTCCGAGCTGCCATAGTCCTTCGATTTTGTCAACATCCCGGCATCCGGTGTCGCATGCGCGGCGGCTCCGGTGTCAACATACCATGCGTCTGCCGGAGGAACAGGAACCGCCGCGGCGTCGCCGGAGACTGCAACATTTGCCTGCGCAGGGGGTTGAGTGGAATACCATTTATAACAATAAACGGCGGTATGGCCATGAGATCGGCAGATCTAACATCTTGGGGGACCCCGTCCGCCGCGTCCACCGCGGCTGTTGTTGCTGTTCTGGCCTCCGCGGCCTCCTCATCGACCACCTTCGCCATGCGGATTGCCATCGCCTCCACGTCCACGTCCGGCATAGAGTGGCGTATGCGAAGCCCCTGGAACACCATCTCCCGCCGCTGGATAGTCGTCGGCGAGAATAATGTCAGCGGCTTGGAGGTAGTCGGCCAACTGCGGAAGAGTCACCGGCGAATTGGCAGTGAGGGAGGCTGCATAGGATATGTACTCCGGTCGAAGGCCCCTCAGCACGTACAGATTCTGTTCTGCAAGCGAGAGTGGCTGACCAGCCTGTGTAAGCGCTTCGACGAGAATCTCCGCTCTGCCGAGTGTCGGCGACGAGTTCCCTTGCCGGAGGGACTGAAACTGCCCCAGCAAGTTGAGGCACCTCGCCTGGGTGTTGGAGCCTAACGCCGTGCAGACGGATCGCCAAACCTCAACCGCGGTGTTCCGGCCAACTGCAAGGTGGAGAACCTCGTCGGACAGTGACGAGAAGAGAAGGGAGAGGATCGACTGATCCTGTTGAACCCATGCCTTGTGTGCCGGATTGGGGGTCAGTTCCGTCGTGGTCGCGCCAGAGTTGGAGTCGTCGGAAGGTGGGGAGACAACGGTTGGAGGTGGGCATGGTGTAATGCTATCCACGAGGCTGATGAGATCCTGTCCACGTAAGAACGGGATGAGCTGGGTACGCCAGAATAAGAAATTCCTGGATGTTAACTTCATGGAGATGAAGTGATGAGCTCCAGTTAACGGGTTGGTGCCGCTCGGGGAGGAGCCACCGGCGGCGAAAATAGTTCTCTCGGAAGAATTCGAAGACATGGTGATGATGGCGATGGTTCATGGTTGTTTTACGATCAAAGAGGAGAGAGGAAGGTTCGGCTTGGCTGATACAAGATTAGAGAGATTATATATTCAGTTTTAACAGAATAGAGTTACAGGAGAGTATATCAAACTATACCACTAATATCTCCTGACTAATAGACTAGTCACCTAAGACTTATTCTATTACAATATAACTCTAGACTAAGATAATAATAATAATAATAATAATAATAATAATAATAATAATAATAATAATAATAAATGTAACAATAATAGTAACACTAACAAATCTAATAAAAGAAAATTAAAATTAAAGTATTTATGAATATAATGTCTTTTCTATTTAAACTATTTTATCTAATCGATTATGTTTCATATATTTTTATAACATTTTAAAGTGTTTTAAAATTTAATCCTACCCAAGTATAGTTTCGGCTCTACCCTTAACTATATCTTGTATGTAATCTATCATAACTCATAAACATTGTATTATAATTTATAATATATTTTGTATTTGAACCGTATTATGAGAGATTTTTGATATTTTTTATTGACATTTCTAAAGTAATTTGAATTACGCCCCACTCACATAATTTTCTGGGTCCTATATCAATCACTTTTGTCGCGGCGGACAGGATAAAGTTGGCTGAAAGTAAAACATAATCTTATTAATACGATGAGGTTCTGATTTCACTTGGTTAGTTGGTAGACTGGTGGTTGAGAACTTGAATTGGGAGTTATGAAAGGAGATGCATGGATAATAATGGAAAAGAACACGACAGACGTCACCGAACTCAAACTACATATTTATCAATCAAAAAATCAGAAAGGTGTTGGATTTCTATTTGATGGAAAAATAAATTTTTGATGAGATTTTTTTCAGTAAATTCTATTTTTTTATGGGACCCACAATTGGAGAGAATAAAAATGATATACAGCTCTTGTTGCGCGTTTGGCAATCGTTATACCCTACACCACGGCGCGCGTAGCACTGTGCGCCGCGCGCCTGTCAAAACGACGTCGTTTTGGGGTCGTTTTGAGAGGCGCGATAGGAAGTTACTGTGATTATATATATTTGTTCACACAATTATGTATAATTGTTCATATAATTATGTATATTTATTCATACAGTTATGTACATTTTTTATACAATTATGTACATTCTTTTTATACAATTATGTACATTCGAATCAGAAAATTTGTGTGTATTATGTTAAGAGTTGATGTGTATTATGTTAAAAGTTTATGTTTATTATGTATTATGTTAGATTATGTGTATTATCTTTTAAAAAGAGTATGTATATTTTGTTATATAATTATGTACATTCATGTATACAATTATGTGTATTCTAGTATAACATTATGTACATTTTTGAACAGGAATTTTTTTTTTAAAGAAAAATTAACTGTCATACACTGGGACGGGAAATTTCAAAAAAATAAAATAAAATTAAAACGACGTCGTTTGCATCTGGGCGCATAATGCAACGCGCGCCATGATGTAAGATATAAATTGCCCGCGTTTGGTGCACAGAATACGGCCAGCAAGCCAGCTGGGCACGTACCCAGATCAGAGCTTTTTTTTTATTTAGGTCAGAATTTGTTTTGTTTTTGTTTTTGTTTTTTTTTTTTTTTCTCTTTTTCAACTTCTCAATTTTCTACGTGAATCTGAAAAAATCAACAAAAAATACATACTAATGAGATTGATCTGAAAAAATACATACTAATGTCTTGCAAGTCTAATGTCGTTCCAGTTATTCACTATTCTTTCGCTATCAAATATTATATTTTAATTATAAATTATTTCATATTTTACACGATGCAATTTTATATAAAATTGACAATTTATGAAAAATCTC